ACTGTTAATAAGAGTATTATGTAATAAGAATTGTTAGATTAAAATATTAGCAAGAGACTTCTAGTTCTTTGCAGTTATCATTTTATAATTAAATATATAATAACCAATTCTAGTATGTTTCCATAAAGGTTTATTATAGTTATGTAAAAATGTTCAAATGTAGATAAAATTAAGTGATCACTTAAAATAGAAATTTTGTTGTTATCAAGATTATAAGAAAGCAAAAATTGTATATTAAATTGATCTGTTCAGATATAATTAATATAACTACTATTAGTATTGTTAGACTAAGTAAAGTGTTTATTGTTGAAGTGAACTCTAATATTATATATGTTAGAATAATTAAGAAAATTGATGAGTTTATATTTAGAAAAAAAACTATAAATGTAATCTTGTATATTAAAACACCAAAGATAATAGGATAAAGATAAAATTAAGAGACTTATTGAATTCAATTGATTACTGTGTTTTGAGTTTGGTTATAAATAGCTATATTAGTAGATAAAAGATATACTAAGATAATATAAAGTTTGATATTGCTTTAAAAGAAAATGTCAAGTGTTATAGCACTTCTTGAATAAGTATAAACATTATAAATACAGGGTTTAAGATTATTATAAATTATGAAAACTGTTTCTTCTATAAAATAAAAGAGTTAGATTAATAAAAAGTAAAAAGATTATTGTTGCAAAAGAAAGATAAGTTTTGTTAAAAATTTTTGTTTCAGTAATTCTAGCAATAAATATATTATTATTAATATAATAATTTTATTAGGTTTTTTTTTTTGTTAGTTCATTAAAGTCTCTAAAATTGTATATAATAATAGTTAGATTAAAATGATAAGAACTTGAATCAGAAAGATGTAAAAGAAAGTTATAGTTAATAGAAGTTGGAGAATAATTGTTAAAAAAAAGATCAAATAAACTAAAATAAAGTTAAAAGAGTTGGATCTAAGAAGAAGATTATAAAATAAAGAAAAAAATAAGGAAAATAATAATATGATCAGGTAAAAGAAAGTTATTAGAAAAATAAAAATAAGTTTTATAATAAGATATATTAATAGAAAATATAATACTAAATACAGTTTTGTTATTATTATGTTTATTAATATATTAAATTAATGTTTGAATAGTTTGATTATAAAAAAGAAGTAATAAATTATAATCAGAAATGTGGTGACCTAGTGAAGTGATCAGGTTGTTAACTTCTAAATATAGGTTAGGTATTCAAATCCTATCAATGATAAAAATTTGGATAATTATTTATATAATATTTATATTATGACAACTGTTCTTAATAATCAGATTAGAATATCTGTAATAATGATTACATTAGCATAACTAGCAGGTTATAGGATATCTGTATAACTTGTTATACAGAGGAATGCAAACTGATAAATTGATTAATGTAAATACTAAATTAGTTTTTATAGCTATATAAATCTGTTGAAATTGAGTAACAAGAAGTTTATTTGAGAAGACTTAAGTAGAAGATAATCAGATCTTTGACAGCCTTACTGTAAAGACTAGTCTAGAAAAACAGATACCAAGATTGTAGTACCTGGTTATAGTACTTGATTATAGTAACCAGACAGGCAAGAACCTCTGGATTGGGAATCTTAGAGGTATTACCAACCAGGCTATTAAAATAAACTATAGAAAAAGAATATCAGGTTGACTTAATATACCAATAAACTGATTATAGTTCTATATAAACTATCTGAATTAAAAGTTTGATAAAAAGACAGATAAAAAGACTGAGATATACTAAAGTACTAAGATTATGCTATGAAATAGATGCTGAAGTCTGTGTAAACTTTACAAAGACATAACAGTTAAATGATATAACTCTGATTGCAAGTATTGGTTCTGCTATAGTAATATCTAAATTAACTGTAAAAATAGATACAAAAGGCTCTGAATAGTTTACCTAAGAATAAATTAGTTCTAAGATTGAGATAATAATCTGGGCATCTGGGTATAGACCAGTAAATTAATACAGATTATAGGTTTAGAGAATTTAAAATAAAACATCTAAATAGGTGTATTAAATATAATTATTAATAGAGAACCTTTAGACAGACTCCTTAAATAAATAATATAAAAAAGTTACATGTATAACCAATTGTACTCTCTTTTGTAGTAGTTTATAAAATTATATTACTAATAAGTTGTTAATAAATATCAAAAGGTCAAAAAGATTACCTTAATACTAAAAAAAAAAAAATTATAATAAAAAAAAAATTTGTTAAACATATATAAAGATCATAAGAGACTAAAGATATTGAAAATGATTTTTCAAAGTTGTTTTCTACAGAATCAATTATTGTATACTTAGTTCTTACAATTATAAAAAAACATTACAGATTTTAAAATAGTTTGATAATATTTTTTTATATACAATACTAAGTCTGAAACAAAAAGCCTAGTAATATTAAATGAAATAGACTATTCATTAAGTTTCAAAAAATAAGTTGCCTTACAATAATATTATTAATATTATTAAGAAAATCTACTAAAACTAACTTAGTTAGTTAAATAATATATTGACTATACTTCTTATATAATCATCTATCATTTCATCAATAATAAATAAAACTGAATTATTAAATAATTTTGATTTAATAGTTACAATAAACTTTTCATATACTGATGTTAAGTAATTTTGCTATAATGCTTTAGTTAAAAGGATAGATCCATTATTAATAGGATTATTTTTAAGTCATGAATGTAAATTATTAACCTTTTCTAAAAATATATTTATATTTATAAATGCTTTAACTAAATCTAAGCTTGTTTTTTTTTTGTATCACATCTATTGATATGAATAATGTTTGTTGTTTTAATCTTATCTTATGTTGTTTTTTTATTTTTTTATTTGTAATATATATAAAACTATTCATATGAATTGTAATAATTGACTTTATATCATAATTAATAGTATTATCACCAAATCAACATATCAAAAATCCATGATCCTCAAAAAAATGATTCAGAAATTTATTTGCATGACCTGTTGCCATAATTTGACATGGCATTTAAAACAAGTTATTATGTTTAATAAAAACTAATTAATTTATATAGTACTTATACTATAAAATACCAAAAGTTAAATATAATATCTTACTTTTTATAATTTTTTTTCAAAATTATATTATTAGTTTAACAGTTTTATCTTGTTTATATTTGCTTGTTCTTGTTTGTTACAACACTGATTATTTTGTTGCTTGTTTGTTACAACACCAAAACAACTATGTATTTAAAACATTAAAATTCATCCTTTAAAATTGACAATATGATCAAAATTTGTCTCACATATAATTTTTTTTATATACCAGTAGATTAATAAGTTATACAAACTTATGCAAATTTGATTGGTATACTAAAATAGCTAGCCAATCCAATTTATTGTGTAATCTACTATACATAAAAAGGTCGTAAATAAAATTGGTTTATAGAATAAGTTTTACTAAAAATTGTTATTTATTGTTTTTTAATCCTTTTTAAATATTTTAGAGTTCCTGATTTCGGGTGGAGTGAAAATTTCTGCGGAGGATGATGTTAACCTAATAATCAACTAAAAATGGCATTGTGTGCAAAAGTTTAATAAATTAAAAATGTTAATCATTACGTATTTTTGTAATAATGCTAGCACTAAAGTTGGTTACGACATTTTGTTGTAACAACATCCATGATTAAATACTTTATACCAATTTACAATTGGTTTGGAAAATAAGATTTTGAAATAGTGCGATGGTAATGTTTATTAAATTCACGATAAAAGCAAAAACATGTACATTAGCAAAGTTAAAACTAATAAAAAATCATTAACTTATTCTTTTCAGTTAAAGCTATAAAGGGTATAATTAGTACGTTTATATAGTTGGACAAATTTCGCATATCAATTTTATTTAAATAAAGTATTTTGAAATGAAACAGATTCATAACAGTGGATAAAACAGTGATAAATTTACTATATTTAGAATTTAAATTATAACTTTTCCAAAAGAAATTTACCTCTGACTATATCAATTTAAATAAATTTCTAATTTATTATATTGTGATAAAAATGTGATGCCAACTTTCTAAATACATAATTACATCCTATAAAATACAAATAAATTTAATTTGAATTCTTTTAAACCATATGGGCTAGGTGCTAGAAAAAGGGACCTAATTGATAATTTTTTCAAAATGAATTTTTTAAGCTTAACTAATTTAAAATTAACTCAGGAACATTTTTCACTTAAACTTAAGAAAGAAATACGGTTGCATTAATAATATTTTTCAGTATAATCTTTTGACACTTATGATTAATATAAATTTTATAATATAAAAATCAATTTGCCACAAAATTTATTTTTTGTCAATTTGGTCCTTTTCTCCAGCACCTAGCTCATATATTCTATAATTCATAATAAAAAGTAATAAAAATTGACCTAGTCAGGTTATATGAATCTAAATTATAATTATAAATAAAGTTTAATTCATGTTTCTCCTAGATTTAAATTATTAAAATCAACTCCAACTTCACGCGCTTCTTGAACCAATCCGCTATTATGTAAGCAGAATGAATGAATACAACAATCCTCACAGGAATCACCCTATAAAAATATGTCAAAAAATATAAAAGTTAATTATTATAATAACTAAATGTTAGATTACAAAATTTAAATATATTACATCAATATTATATCTTGCACGAATTTCTCCACGATTTATGCAACCAAGAAAACAATTAATACCAAAAAGCATAGCAATAAAATAAAAACAACTATCACCAGCCGGACTAGTGTTATTCATTTTGGCTTTAGTTAAACCCTAAATTGATAAAATAAAAGGTTCAAAAATTGGACTAATTTTCAAAACCATTTCAAAGCATACATACGTAAGTGATGCAAGGGCAAAAACATGTGAGTATTTCTAATCAAAAAGAAAATACATTATTATATTAATATAGTGTTATTAGTTTCTTAATTGAGAAAAAATATATATACGAAATTAACTTAGTTCAATGGCGCCACTGCAAAATAATGGATATTTCCATTCATTTTTTGGCACCTGAGAAATTGGTTGAGTTGAGACCATGCTCATTTGAGGAGTTGGTTGATAAACATTTTGATAACCAGTTTGAGGAGAAACTGCTACGTCCTGCACTTGACCTTGATTAACATATCGAGGTTGAGAATAAGTTGCTTGCTGCTGCATTTGATTTTGATAAGTATTGGTTTGAGAATACGGTAATTGCATCGGAATATTTTGATAAACATTGGTTTGAGGATTTGGTAATTGTATTGGAATATTTTGATAAACATTGGTTTGAGGATTTGGTAATTGTATTGGAATATTTTGTTGATAATTATTTTGTTGTATTTGTTCTTGATAAATATTAGTTTGAGGATTCGGCAATTGCATCGGAGTATTTTGTTCTTGAATATTAGTTTTTTGCATTTGTTCTTGATAAATATTGATTTGAGGATTCGGTAATTGCATTGGAATATTTTGTTTTTGATAAATATTAGTTTGAGAATTCGATAATTGCATTGGAGTATTTTGTTCTTGATAAATATTGGTTTGAGAATTCGGTGACTGTATTGGAATATTTTGTTCTTGATAAATATTAGTTTGAGAATTTGGTAATTGTATTGAAGTATTTTGTTCTTGATAATTATTTTGTTGCGTATGTTCTTGATAAGTATTAGTTTGAGAATTTGGTGATTTTATTGGAATATTTTGTTCTTGATAATTATTTTGTTTCATCTGTTCTTGATAAATATTAGTTTGAGAGTTCGGTAATTGCATCGGAATATTTTGCTCTTGATAATTATTTTGTTGCATTTGTTCTTGATAAATATAGGTTTGAGAATTCGATAATTTCATCGGAATATTTTTTTCTTGATCATTATTTTGTTGCATTTGAGGATATTGATTGTTTGACATTTTCTTTTGTAATTGTTGGTTTAATTTAAGAATTCTTATGATAACTAAATTATGTTTCTTTAACACATCGCCTTATGTATTATATATATATCTTTCGTGCATTCAAGAGTGATACCAAAATAATTATGGTCAGACCCTTTTAAATGCATTGTGTGACGGGACCATGCATTTAGAAAAATTCTACAATTAGGGAGGTAAAAATCTATACAAGTATTATCTTAGTTGGGCTCAACGAAGACGTACATTTAAGGAGGCGTTTCACAAGGTGCATTTAAGGGGTTGCGTTTAGAAGGGTGTGACTGTATTTGCTTACCTTTGCATTTAATTATTGTTGACTTTTTCATTAATAAATAAACATTCCAAAGTTTTTTCTATCTCTGTCACACCTACCCTTTTCTTCAATAATTGCTTGGGGAAATTATCTACTAGACAGAATTTTAATCACTTTCAAAAAATAGTGTACATGCAATATTATGAATTACATATAGTCGTTTTGCTCAAACCCAAGTTTCAAAATACTTAAGTTGAATATTAAATTTTCATTATATTGATGATTTTCCGAAGCGTAATAATTACATAGTTTTATTATATCCTAAAATTAAATTGGGTCAAACCTGCAAATCTTGCCATCTATTTCGGATAAAGTGAAAATCAAAATCGGATATACTGTAGCAACAATCAATTTGAACAAGATAACACAATCAAATTTGAACACCAAATTTGGTCATCTAGTTAATCAAATTTGGACATCAAATCAATCAAATCAGATATCAAACCAATCAAATTCAAATCAAATTTGGACATCATTATTTAATGTAGTTTAGAATTATATAATTACAAGTAAAAATTTGGTAATTAAGTACCTGATTATCAAGTTTTTTTTACGTGCCCACGGGACTAAGCCGGTCATGTATTCTCGCTTCGGTCACTTTTGACGCTAGAGACGTTTCTGACACTTCGGGCATAAGAGTAATAAGGTCATGCGTGTTGTAATCGATACTTCCGTTATATGAGCCGAACTATTATGCATATAAAGATCTTTCGCTTCATTTTTGTTAGCATCAACGCCAGCCATTCTCCTTTATTGAATAAATAAAGATGACCACAAATATACAACTAAATACAAAGTATCTAAAACCTTTTTCAAATAAAGCGTAAATCATGTTTACCCTCTCATTCGCTTTTTCATCCAACTATTACATAGATGATTCCGAAGATTCAACGAATATGTTACAAGGTGAAGCAAAAACATCAATTCATCTGTTAAATTCACTCTCATTTCATAGAAGTTAAGCAACTCAAGCTTTAAAATAAGTATTGTAAAACGTATAAAAAAACCCCAAATCAGTCGTGTAACCATATCAGATCTTAGAATCATCTACGTACGTATGAATTTGACTGATATGATGTTTAGATTTTATAACAATAGTGTCTAAGTTTGATTACCTTGATGTCTTAATTTGATTTCTGTGATGTCTAAATTTGAATACTCTTATATCCGAAAGTAATTACTATCATGTCCAAATTTGATTGTTGTTATGTTCGAATTTGAGTGCTACGTTATCTGCAACAGGTATCCAAAATCGATAATTAGATTAAATTTTATGATTTGAATAAAATCAGTCAAGATGAATCCGGCCAAATGCACCAAAGAATTACAGTAATGAAATATGTTCTTCATAGTCTTGAATAATTTTCAAATAATTTTCAAATGGATATATTGGGAAAATGTGAACCGTTATTCAATATACTAATATAACATTAAAATAGCTTTATCGAACAATGTACTAAACATTCATCTAAAAAATATAAATTCTTAATTACATTCCGAATTACATTCTGAATAATAGGTTAAAAAGACAAAAATGTGGTGCAACGTTGTAAAGGTTAAATTTTTGTAAACAAACATAACCAGTTAATAATAAGGTAGCTATTTACTTACTAGCTATCTCATCTGCATACATAAGTTGTCATCGTAATTACCAATTTACGCATTATAGTATATGCTGTGATCTCTGGAATTGGCCTCTAGTACTATGCGCTTATGATATATAGTACATTTATATAGTATATGAAATATTTGAGATATAGTAAATATATAGGATTTTAGAAATAATTAGACTTAAAAAAATTGCATATAATAATGATATCTGCGAAGGGACTTGGTAGTGCTGATAATTCTAACACAAATAACACAACAAGATTTCATGCTTCTTACTAAATCACCCATAGAGTTGTACATTTGACTCGTATAGAGTTCCGCATATTCATTATAGCGACTATTAACTCAAAGATTGCATTCGCATATCAATTGCAGAGTGAAACATTACCCACGTATTTGTCTTACTTACGTTTCGAAAAGGTTTAAACAAGCAGCGAAGTTGAGGTTTTAAATGTAGGTTATAGATTACCAAATCCAACAGTTCCAATTCATTCAGCATATTGAATTACTATAAATACTTGTCGTGATATTAATGCTAAGCCTAATAAACAAGACTAATGTGACTGCCAATTAAAATTCAAAAGTAGACAGATATCAAGTTGCACATGATCAGTTATACATTCAGATCGCTTTTAATGTGAACAAATGTATCTGCCATGAACATATATATATATATATAATATAAAATAGGAAATTGGCAATCAATTGGGCAATATAATAAAGAAAGAGACGACTAGTGGTTCACGTGTCAAATAAGGTGGCACTGAAAGAAGTATCGGGCGATGATGTAACAATGGGTACTGCATCCTTTTGTTTGTTGATGTTACTAGTAATTTTTAAAAAATAATGAGTACAAAAAGTACTTTAAGCTGTATAAAAAATTTAAACTATTACCATTTTTTATTAAATTTGCTAAGCCACAACGTCGATCATCTAAATTTCAGAATTTAGACTTGTCCATTATGCTCGTGACATATGTATTATGACTTCGCCGTACTAATCCATGATATTTACAACAGCCCATGGAACATCTATTACATATACCTCACTAAATTAAACCTTGAAATGCTTACAATTAAGATTTCTAAATTTCATTTTGACAAATACTTGTAATACTATTTATAACATGACATGTACAAAACAGTAATAGTAGGGGTTTCAAATTTAACAAAATAAGTAGAATTTTTTAAATATTGATTTTGCCATATTAAATTATAAGTTGGAGAAATGAAATCAGAATTTTTATTTCTCAACTTGGAAATTCTAGTAGATTTAAATCTAATTCTCTTAATTAGGAATATCAGGATTATCCTCTTCAGCTTTACGTCTTATAGAATATTCACGAATAACTGAGGCAAAATGAATCTGTAGAGTACAGACAAATTGATTAATAATTTAGCATGATCTGTTATTTAAGGCTGATTAAATAGGAATTGTATTAAATTATATTAACATACCGAGATAATGGCTAATATCCCATAACCCACAAAGTTTACTATCGCAACAAAAACATATACAGAGTTGCAATCATTTTCACTAGTGTGAGCGGTAGGACGGTAACGCCGGAAGCTCGTTGAAGCAGGTGATTTGTGTGGCGTAGTAATGGACTAACGGCTATGTCGATCACCTACCTTAAATGGGTTTACCGGCAGTATACACTGTATTCGTTGTATACTTAGTGTCGGGTTGATAATTGATATCAGTAGGATAAGGGGGATCAGCGGGATCAAGGGTATAAGTAAAATAATCAGTATGAACATTATAATCAGTATAATAAGCATAAACATTAAAATTAGTATATATGAGATAACGAACATAAGTGCTATATCACGAATAGAATGTAAAACGTGCCTTATGTAAATGAAAGTATATAATAAAGGCTTCAAGCCCTACGAAGAAACGTTCGTTGTTCGTGATTCACATAAAACTTCTGTCCCCTAATAATAAAACCTTGCTTTCATTTTTAATATAATACCTACGATCTAAATACAGCACTCTCCAAATCTAACCGCCTCTTATCGACTAAGCCGTTCGTAGGTTACACGACATATCCGTTTGTCAAGCGACTGACTCGCCGTTTCGCCCGTGTCACTAGCATTTGTCTTACAAGAATCAATAATTTTTTGCTTAAATCCAGCAGTAATAATGATCAAAAATATATCAAATAGAATTTGTCCTATTATAACAGCATAAAATATTTAAAATAGAATTTGTCCTATTATAACAGCATAAAATAGTTTAAAATAAAATTTTAAAAAAGAGCAGGACTTTCCTAATGTATTATAAAAAGGTTAGTATGTTTCATAATATTAAAGCTACTGTATAAAACCATCACTTATATAATACATACCGCACAGCAAACAACAATAAGTCCAAAAGCAGTTATTAGAAGGATTATAACAAAAACAATTAAATGCAAATAAAAGTATCCATAATCATAGACTAAAAAAATATAAATTCATATCATTTAAGGTCAAAATACTGTAGAGAAAAACCATGTAAATAAATAAATAGTACTTACATAAGCAATCTACACAGATGCTTGCGGTCGAGTTTTTGTTGTCACCCGACGTTAACATCACATTCACTGGGGAAGCATTTTGAGAGCCATGGGCAGTGATAACTCTTATAGAATTGATAACGGTAGCTAATGCTATAATCTATGATTAGAAAATAATTTTAGTTGGCACACAAACAGTCTCAATTGATATTTGAGTTCATATTGAAAGATAACTTGCCAGTGTGATGACGGATCTTAGATAGGATTTAGATAGAAATAATAAAAGAATAATAAAGTATCTACAACTGTTAAACATAAATTACTTACCCGACCTTAATAAAAGTGCAAGTGTTGTCTTGTAAGATCCCGTGACCATCGTTAAATCCCACCCCTAACAGAACCCGTCCGCCCCAAGAATAAACTAAACACGCAGTCGATCGTTCGCCATAGTCACGTGCCCAGACCGAAAGAGACGAGTCCCGCCCCCAATTCGACGTAGTGAAAACCCAGTTGAGACAAAAAGATAAGATGGGAATTAGTTAAAAGAGTAGGTCGAAGGAAAAGACTCAAGAAAAAGAGATCAGTACTTACCTACGAACGATAAATCACTCGCCAAATCCACACGCCTTTCTCAAGACCGCAAGCCGTCCGATCGTTACACGGAGCCGACCTTCGATTAGAGACAGACTCGCCGATTTAGGAGTTCTCAATACCCTGCATGGCCTTCGTGGCTACCGTGATACTGGAAATTGTGATACCGAATATCGTAACTGATCACGTGAAAAATGCACGAAATGCAATAAGTGCAATAAGTTACATTTAGGATCGGAAACGGTATTTCGGATCCAGAAAGGTAGATAAGGAATAAGGGGAGGATGTGAGGATAAATTACACATCCTTAAAGATATTAAATAAATCACTGTAAATAGTTTTAATTAGTTTTAAAGAATAATAAGTGTAAAGTCGTATTTGTGAGCGACAAATTTAGTATTATAAATAAAGGCCAAAATGGCCCTTAAGAGCAGCATGCTTCATTTGCTTTATCAAACAATAAATCCTAATATTCTACATTGTATTTAATAAACACTAACACTATTACCATTACAAACCCTGTGAACCCCTAATAATGTCGTTGTTTAGCCCTTGACCATGTGACTTACCCTATTTGCATTCGTTGACCCAAAGTGACCAAAAGCCTTAACTGCCCACAAGCCAAATCTAACACCCTCTTTTGAAAAGGTTACTTGTCATACATTAAACAAGGTTTTGAATTTTGGAATGACCAAGTCACAATCTTCCGAACCTAACATCAGTCATAAAATTGTTATAATAATAACACCCACTCTTAGAGAAATGTAATAGCAACAATGTGTCAGTTTGGTACATGAAGTCATTTGAATCAATAAAGAACAATAAAGAATTGGTTTAAAGTCAAGCTGCAGGAGATTAAAAGTAAATCTATTTATAAGAGAAGTAATATTGTTAATTATATTATGCTAAAATTATATTGATAGACAATGCGCACATACAGTAACCAACAAAAGTAATGCCCAATTTTTGATCAAAAAATAAAATTTTTGTTTATTTAATTTTGGTTACAAATATAACAATTTTTTTTTTTATATTAATTTAATATTTCACTGAGTGGCCTTTTACATTTGTGATAGTGTCAATTTTTTGTCATTGAGTCTGCAATGACATGAAGAACTGATGTATTCAAATTTGACCATGCTTCTTGTAAGGTCATTTTAAGATCAGATTTATTTCTTGGAAAGTCATCTCAGTTCTGAATATTGTCCTTCATAATCTTCCAAATATTTTCTATGAGGTTAAGGTCAGGGGATCATAAGGGCCAATTCATATAATCAATGTTTTTCAAATTTAGCCAATTCGACACCTTATGAATTGGAGCATTATCATGCTAAAAAATCAAATAGAGATGTTTAACAAATAGACTGCAACTAAAAACAGTATGAGATGGTTATTTAACACCTTGATATAAATATTTTTATTAATTTTTTGCTTGGAATCTTTGTAATCATCAAAAAATACTATGGGACCTTTGATATTATTAATAAAACATAACCAAACTATAACTGAGACCTTTCCACTTCTAAAATTTGGTTACAAACACTCATGTTTGTATTTTTCATCCACATAACACTATACATGAACTTGACAGGATTGTTTACCTACTTTTATACTCATTTCATCTGAAAAAATGATATGTCTTCAATAGTAAGCATCCTTATTTTTATTCTAATTACACCATTTCATATGTTTTTCTATATTGCTACTAGACAAAAAAGGTTTCAAAGCAGCAATGTGAAAATGAAGTTCAACATTGTGTAAGGTCCTAGCTTCAATCTGCACATTACATTAAAGGTTTAAATTCTTTACAATTTTGAGCAGTGGCACATTTCTTTCCTTCAATGCTTTTTTTATTATGACAGTCTTTTCTTGCTTCTTTAAGATGGGGAGATGTTCAGACCAAGGTAAATTCTTGATTTTTTTGGTTCTCTTGTATTTTTATAAAAATCTTCAGACTATTGTTAGGTCATGCTTAATCTTGTAGACAACTTGTTCAGCACTCATTGTACTGATATGAGCAAGAATTATTCCTTTTTTTTTTCTGTTATTTGTTTGTGTGACATTTTTATTAAAAAAAAATCTTTGGTGTGTGCTTGGTTCATTTAATGTCAAAGAAGCAAAAAATAAAAAAAATTTGCCTAAAATTCATTAGAATGGGGTATACACAGTTCTTTTATTTGCTTATGTGTGATGATCTGCAAATCAGGTGTTACTTTTGTTGGCTACTGTATATATATAAGTATATCTCTGTTTTTAGAAAGATTATTGATAAGTAGCGACAAGAAAGTTATGGATAAATTAATTTTAGTGAATAGTATAAAATTTCCTGATTCAATAGAAAGAATACCATATTTTTGGAATTGATTTCTTTATAAAGAACATTTTAGTAACAATAATACAATATCATTATTAAAAAATGAATTTAGATTTTCAAATTTCTTACTTGTACATATGTAATGTAAACAAATTGTTTCATACATATAATATATATCATAAAGATTTTTCATATTATTGGTATACTACTACCTTCATTATTCTTTATCAATTGTCATGAATTCCTTATGCCATTTTTTGAAATAGGCTTAGATAGTGTTACCTAGTAGAGTATGGTAATGTATTGTTTATAATTGCCTACAAATTTATCTTCAATATTGCTATTTTTGTACTTGTATGTTTTGTAATAAATTCTCCAGATTTCTTTATTATAAATGATAAACAACTATGTCATTTATGTATTGTAGTGTGATCAGTACAATTGTGTAATCAGTATAATTTCGATCACATATAGATAACTTATAAAATATGAATGAGTCAGCTTTTGACATGTCATTATAATGGTAATTTAAAGAAAAATAAATAATTTGGTTTTGTATAAGTAATATGTAAAATATTATAATGAACTCTATTATCATTTAGCTATAAAGCCATGTTATAAATCTTGTCAGATAAATTTTATGTCCTACATTGGTGATCATAAATAATGCAACAAAAAAAAAATTTGTAGATCGTATTATCTCATGCAATTCCAGGCATATTTCTTAAATTTTTTTTTTATTTTATTCACAAATAACAAATTATCATTAATAAAAAGAATTTAAAAATTTAATGATTAAAATTTTTTGAGGGAATGAGCTTTATTTCAATATATATGTTGCATTATTTTTGCTCGTTTTAACAGCAACATAATTGTAAAACAAAAAAATTTTTTTTAATATAAAAAAAAAATTTTTTTTCTAATAATTTTCAGCTATCACCATCTGGTATAGCCACCCCAGGTTCTAATTACATCATGAATTCATTTTGGCATTAAATGAATTAACCTCATACATCGATCACCTGTCAGACCATCTGAATTTTTTCTCAGAGGTCTTTTTCACTTGAAATTTGACCAGAAAGGTCCCTAAGCTAATGATCAACTTTGTCACACAAGTGTTTGATCAGGTTTAAATCAGCTGATTGGGGAGGCCAGTCAAAAAACTTTATCTTCTTCCTTGTAAGCCAATGTTTGGTCAAGGTTGCCATATGACAAGATGCTCCATCTTGTTAAAAAACAACTTCACCAACTTCAAATCCATGATCCTTAATTATTTACATTAAATCTTTACAGAGTATCTTTAGGTACAGATCTGTATCTATCATATCATCGATCCTACAATAGCTGTTAACATCATGAGAGGTAAAATAACCCAAAATCATAATTGATCCACTGTTATATTTCATAGTAGACTTTACATAGAACTGATTTAATGGTTCTTCATGATGCTTTCAATAGTACTGCTTACCATTTGATTCAAAAATTTAGAACCTTGACTCATCTGACCAAATTACCTTGGACCAATCTTTAACAGTCCATTTTTCATATTTTTTTTGCAAAAGTAAGCTGCATTTTTTGATGACTATCACTCAGGTAGAGGTTTTTTTTTTTTATTCCAAACACTAAACCATGGTTCAAAGTATTTGCCAAATAGTAGACACTGAAATTTTAATATCTTCATTTATTTTGAGGTAAATCCTCACTTCAACAACAGTAAAGCAGTGATGAGAGGTAATTAAATTTACTATTCTTCTTTGGGTTAGTTCATTCAACAAAGTTGGATGACTAACCCTTCCTAAATCTTCAAGTGTGTGGTTTGTTAATTACTTTTTTCTAATTTGCAAGACTGTGAAAAAGTTAACATTGTGAGCCTGACCTACTGCTCTTATGATATATCTTTTTTGAAGAGAAAGCAATATTTGGGCTCATTTGGCAGAGGTTGTATAGTTTTTTTTCTGATTTATAAGCAATACTAACATTACACAAGATGCAGAATCAATAATGAAACTTCCATTTTTATATGTTTTATGTAATACAACTCATGCAATCTGAGCTTTGTCAAAAATGATCAAAAATAATGCAACACATAATTTGCAATAAATTTATAATAATCTTCGCATTAGTAATAATAATGATTATTGAAATTTTGCTATCTAAAAAAGATAGTATTTGTAAATAAAATAAAAAAAAAATTTAACAAATATGCCTGGAATTGCATAAGATAATACAATCTGACTAAATTTTTTTTTGTTGTATTATTTATGATCATCAGTGTATTAGTACATGTGGTAATAGTAGGATAAAAAAATAAAGTAGTGTATCTGTTATGCAATGCTATCTGCTAACCTTGGCAAATGTTTTTAGTAAGTTTATAAAATGCTATTAAAAGACCTGTATTATATTTGAATTTTGTCATATATAATATTTCTCTATATAAAGATTGCTTTACAGCTGTTTATAAAAAAATGTAGGCAAATAATTATCATATAACTAGGTGAGAAATTGATTAATTTGAAAATTCTGGTTAGTATAAATTAAGATATAAATAGAACAATTTTAAAAAATCAAAAATTGAAAACATATCGTTAATTTCTCATAGTACAGTAATCTATAACTTTTTGAAACTGACTATAATGTAGTATTAGGAGTGATAGAGAAATTTTGATTTTTAGGCTCATGGTGATTTTCAGAATTGCTTATTGTTTCAGAATGTACCAGAAACTGAGTTTGTATGATATACAATGTAGTGTATGGTTTACTTGCAAGTTTGAGGTGTTTACAAATTCTTGGATCTAATTGGATGATTAATTCTTGTAACTTTGTGTAGCACCCGAACAATGCTATAAAAAAGAAAGTGAAGTAAGTAGTTTATGGTTTACAGCTGCCCCAGTGAGACCATGAAAGATTATTGTATATGCACTAATCTGATTTTTTTGAAATAAAATCATTAGATCAGGTATAATGTAAAAATCACACTTTTTTTAAAAAACAGATGATAACTAAAAATTTTAACTATAAAACTACTTTCTGCACTCTAATAAAAAAAATTTAAGTAAAATTTTGGTATAGAGCATGCATATTGTAATTTCTAGAGATGTGCCTCTTGTGTAAAATGCTGATGTTATTTAATTAATTCTTGCACAAGATAATATAAATAATTTATTATAACATCAGCATTTCATGTGAGAGACACATCTTTAGTAATCCCTATATCAATCTTAATATGAAACTCATACAGAGGATCCCAAAATTCTGGATCAAAATACTTCGGAATCATGATTAGCAGGACCAGAATTAACTAATTTTGCCCAAGATTACTAAAAGTTTTACTAATAAAACTATAGCTCACTTATTAAGTAAAGCTGCCTAGCTGATAATTTGACCCAAAAATGTTAACTTATATTACTAAATGTGAGCTAAATCTGATAGTTCTAACCTGGAATTTTGGAGATTCCCCTGTATAAGTTTTAATATAAGGTTTTAGTACTTTAAAATATTATGCATATTAAAATTGTTCTGATTATTCGAAAGATCTGATTGGTGCATATATACAATCTTTCATAGTCTTACTAGTGCATGTACAATTCTCAGCATATGATTGGGTAATCTGTTATCATGACTTTGTGTAGCACTCTGAACACAATACTTTAAAAGATAGGTACCAGGAACAAATGCCTCTATATGCAAAATCTTAAAATTAATTTGTTCACATGACTTATTGATGATTTAATATTTTTTAAAAATATAAATAAGCATATACATCTGTAAAATCGAAGATGCTATAACAAACAATAGTAAAAATAAGTTTTTTAGACACAAAAATTAATGTCTCATATAAATTTAAAGATCTCAATACTAAATATTTGGTAATTTTCATTTTTTTTCATCAAATTTTTTATCAGGCAGATAAAATAATAATCACTAATTGTCAAAAATTTAATCAAAAGAATTTGGTAATCATTTCTAAATACAGATACTGTATGTCTTGTAGATTTTTAATGTTTTTTGTAGAACCCCAAAATTTTGAATCAGATTCATTGGAACTGCTAAAATTTAAGTTAATATTCAGATTGCAACTTCTTTTATAAAAAGATATTTTCTTATATCAGAAATTGACTGCAATAAAGAATATGATTTCTTATAACTAAAATAGTGTTTATTGTTGTTTGGTAATTTGGCAAGTCTGTCACAAATTTCTTTCAATCCTTGTGTAACTTATAACAGCTAAGTCAAAATAGGTGTATTAGATTTGGCTAAATGGTTTATTCATAGATAAGTACTACTCTTTTATTCTAAATCTTTTCTTTAACCTATTCTTCTATTAACTCTTGCCTTCTCTTGTCTTCTTTTTACTTCCTTAATCTGAAATTATAATACATTAAATTAAGTTTGAATCCTTTTTTTGCATTAATGACTTAGTAATATGACTTATAGCAAATAATCAAAATGCAGTTTAGTGATTTATAAAGAGACAAATAATATGAATAACAATAGTTTTAATAACAATTTATTAGTTTATGTTGGATTATAGTTTACTTTTAATATGGGTCATAAACATATTTTTATATATTGCAAAAATGTATTTACTTAAAAGTATCTTTTCATATTTGTTATTTTTCTCCTAGATGAAAAGTTCTTTATTTATAATAAAAGTATTGTTTACATTTAAGGTTAATTTCCTCTAGATTATCTATTTACACTATATAATTATTAAAGCCTCTTTTCTTTCTAACCTAAAGAAAAACTAAATATACAATATATCATCGATCTATTCCAAAGTAATAAAAGTAATAAATATAATAAAAATAATAAAAATAAGAAAAACAAGATTTTTCTTATTTTTTATATAACTAATTATTTGAGTAAAAGGTAATTTCAATGATCAATTATATATAACTATGATAATATATAACTGATTTTGGCAGATAGCCTATAAACATATACAATCATATGCTATTTAGCATTATAGACATATACTGATCATATAATATTAATTTTATTATATAACTATTTTTATGAAGTAGCAAACTTAAATA